GTATTGTTCACCAAAACTACTGGTAATGCATCACGTGTTTTAGTTCCATTTTCTTTAACCACACTGATGAGAGACGACCTACGTTGGGTGATCCAAAAAATTATAAGAAGGAAAAAAGTCATTCATTCATTAGCTTTCTTGCTAAAAATTTCAGACGTTGCAGTTCAAATGTTCAAATGACGTTCCAGAAGTGCCACTTCCTCACTTCTCCTTCAGAGTACAGGCACTATACTTCCCACCTCCAGAACCACAACATCCTCACCTCTCCTTCTGAGTACAGGCACTATACATCCCACCTCCAGAACCACAACATCCTCACCTCTCCTTCAGGGTACAGGCACTATACTTCCCACCTCCAGAACCACAACATCCTCACCTCTCCTTCAGAGTACAGGCACTATACTTCCCACCTCCAGAACCACAACATCCTCACCTCTCCTTCTGAGTACAGGCACTATACATCCCACCTCCAGAACCACAACATCCTCACCTCTCCTTCAGGGTACAGGCACTATACTTCCCACCTCCAGAACCACAACATCCTCACCTCTCCTTCAGAGTACAGGCACTATACTTCCCACCTCCAGAACCACAACATCCTCACCTCTCCTTCTGAGTACAGGCACTATACATCCCACCTCCAGAACCACAACATCCTCACCTCTCCTTCAGGGTACAGGCACTATACTTCCCACCTCCAGAACCACAACATCCTCACCTCTCCTTCAGAGTACAGGCACTATACTTCCCACCTCCAGAACCACAACATCCTCACCTCTCCTTCTGAGTACAGGCACTATACATCCCACCTCCAGAACCACAACATCCTCACCTCTCCTTCTGAGTACAGGCACTATACATCCCACCTCCAGAACCACAACATCCTCACCTCTCCTTCTGAGTACAGGCACTATACATCCCACCTCCAGAACCACAACATCCTCACCTCTCCTTCAGGGTACAGGCACTATACATCCCACCTCCAGAACCACAACATCCTCACCTCTCCTTCAGAGTACAGACACTATACTTCCCACCTCCAGAACCACAACATCCTCACCTCTCCTTCAGGGTACAGGCACTATACTTCCCACCTCCAGAACCACAACATCCTCACCTCTCCTTCAGGGTACAGTCACTATACTTCCCACCTCCAGAGCTCCGTCTAACACTTCCTAAACTATCATAGTTTACATGTTTTAGATGCTTTTCATTAACTTGCATTTCGTTTGTTAATTCTTTTATCTATTTTAATTTTTTCATCTTTAAACTCTCTCGGATTTATTATCACATTCACCCTATTTTTTATATGGATTTAATTACCAAATTTTTCTGGGTTCTCTTCTGATCCTTCAGTCTTCACTACGCACAATTTCTTTTCCTGCCTCTTTCACCTTCCATAATGTAACCTTGAATGCCATAAAAAAAAGAATTGTAGTTGCAGTAACGTAGCTGGAACAATTTATAATTTAATATTTATTTACCTGCTTCTTGATGAACAAAACATTGTGTGGACAGCTGAACATCCTCTGTGTTGGCAGCTGAACATCCTCTGTGTTGGCAGCTGAACATCCTCTGTGTTGGCAGCTGAACATCGTCTGTGTTGGCAGCTGAGCATCCTCTTTGTTGGCAGCTGAGCATCCTCTGTGTGGGCAGCTGAACATCCTCTGTGTTGGCAGCTGAACATCATGTGTGTGGGCAGCTAAACATCCTGTGTGGGCAGCTAAACATCCTGTGTGGGCAGCTGAACATCCTGTGTTGGCAGCTGAACATCCTGTGTGGGCAGCTGAACATCCTCCTTCTATCTTATTCTTATCAAGTGTTGTCCGGTGATAACATTCCGCTCACCTATGGGAGGAGAGGGATGTAGGGGAGAGGGATGTAGGGGAGAGGGATGTGAGGGAGAGGCGAGTGAGGGAGAGAGAAGTGAGAGGGGATAATCGCTAGGTAATGGTTCACCTTCTGCTGTAGTGTGCTTGGATTACCTCAGATTTCCGGATTTACTGAAGGATTTAGCAAATATTTGGGTTTTTGCTTGTTATCCTGACTGAGATTTGTTGACAGAGAGAGACCTTGGGGATAAAATAAAAGAATCATAAATAAAAGCGTTTTATTAAATAACATTGTATGACTAGACCGCGAGCGCACAAACACACCACACACCACACACACCACACACCAGACAACACACCACACACACCAACACACCACACACACACACCCCCAACACACACACCACACACACACAACCCCACACACACACACATACACACACAGCCATCGCAACAGAAAAATGGTTTAAAGTTGACAACACATGGTAAACAAGATAATTTTTAATTTTATTTTCATTAAGTTTAAAATTAATGTTGAACACATGGAAAATTTATTAAATCAGCATAGATACTGGCTCTCTTCTCTGTACCGTTTTACCACTACCATGGTGACACACCAGTGTTGCACCACCACCATGGTGACACACACCAGTGTTGCACCACCACCATGGTGACACACCAGTGTTGCACCACCACCATGGTGACACACCAGTGTTGCACCACCACCATGGTGACACACCAGTGTTGCACCACCACCATGGTGACACACCAGTGTTGCACCACCACCATGGTGACACACCAGTGTTGCATCACCACCATGTGACACCACCAGTGTTGCACCACCACCATGGTGACACACCAGTGTTGTCACCACCACCATGGTGACACACCAGTGTTGCACCACCACCATGGTGACACCCAGTGTTGCACCACCACCATGGTGACACACCAGTGTTGCACCACCACCATGGTGAACACCAGTGTTGCACCACCCACCATGGTGACACACACCAGTGTTGTTGCACCACCACCATGGTGACACACCAGTGTTGCACCACCACCATGGTGACACACCAGTGTTGCACCACCACCATGGTGACACACCAGTATTGCACCACCACCATGGTGACACACCAGTGTTGCACCACCACCATGGTGACACACCAGTGTTGCACCACCACCATGGTGACACACCAGTGTTGCACCACCACCATGGTGACACCATTGTTGCCCCACCACCATGGTGACACCAGTGTTGCCCCGCCCCCACGGTGACACACACCAGTGTTGTTGCACCACCACCATGGTGACACACCAGTGTTGCACCACCACCATGGTGACACACCAGTGTTGCACCACCACCATGGTGACACACACCAGTGTTGTTGCACCACCAGCATGGTGACACACCATTGTTGCACCACCACCATGGTGACACCAGTGTTGCACCACCACCATGGTGACACACACCAGTGTTGCACCACCACCATGGTGACACACCAGTGTTGCACCACCACCATAGTGACACATACCAGCGTTGCACCACCCCCCTGGTGACAGACCAGTGTTGCACCACCACCATGGTGACACACACCAGTGTTGTTGCACCACCACCATGGCAACACACCAGTGTTGCACCACCACCATGGGACACACACCAGTGTTGTTGCACCACCACCATGGCAACACACCAGTGTTGCACCACCACCATGGTGACACACCAGTGTTGCACCACCACCATGGCGACACGACTAAGCAGTACATTCCTCGAACGTCTGGTGGTAGTCACTTATCCATATATTATAAAACTCGCTGTGACCTCTGTAATACTATTGCATTTGCCCTACCGCTCACAGGACGAGCGTTAGGTGCACAATAAATTAACCTGAATTAACATGTACAAAACTGAAAATTATGTTAATACACATTTTTGCTTGGCCCGGAGCCAGGTCATACTGCCCACTCACCTGCCATAACACTATCACACGCTGTATGCTGGATAAAAATTCTGTTTCTCCAACCCACCGGGGCATTACAGTAGTCATGAAAGCGGAAGTGAGCGGAGGAAGCAAGCTGTTGCCCATATTGGTGTTCAAACTATAATGATCATTTCTGTGTAAACAAATGTGACGCATTGGTTCCTTCGTGTGACCTGTTCGTCATATTTCAGAGCACATCCTGGGTTCCCGTGTTACCTGCACGTCATATTTCAGAGCACATCCTGGGTTCCCGTGTTACCTGCACGTCATATTTCAGAGCACATCCTGGGTTCCCGTGTTACCTGCACGTCATATTTCAGAGCACATCCTGGGTTCCGTGTTACCTGTACGTCATATTTTAGACAACATCCTGGTTTTGGTTCTCTTATGGTTTTCTTGTTATGGTCGTCTCTGGCTCAACTCAACTCAACTCAATAATCAGCGTTATTATTTATAACAGTGACATTCCCAGTTGCTAGGTTATGTACTTGTTGCTTGGATATATGATGACACACACTGATGTCGACCTTTGCATATTTATACTGATGTCAACATGACTAATATGAACATTTGCTAGAACACATAATGGTTGACTAGATGGTTAAACGAGGCGACCACAACAATGTGGAGGCTCTGAAGATGATCACTGTCTCCTTGACTCCAGGTGTCCAGCTCCACCGTCCACACTACAGAAACTGGAAGCACCTCGATCACACACTGTTTGCACCTGATTTATGAATATATTTGACACGAGCGACACGAACTGCTTCTTGGACTAGAAACATCATTGAGGTTACTGAGATCGACTCAACAAACAAAAGGAATTACCTAAAATATATATACATTTAAGATCTGATTGCCACTTCTCCTGCAATAGTAGTATTATGTGTCACAACACACTCTCAATCACGATCCTCAGCCTTCGACCAATGACCATACTGTTCCTGCTGCTCTGTGGCTGAGTGTGGAATGTGTTCAGGAAACAGGTGTATGGTGCTGCGCCAGCCGGTAGAGACCTAGTAGCAAAGTTTCACTCACAGTTCTTGTGATAATTGTCTGTGGCATTTGTTATTTCATCATGAGGTCTGTCGCAAGGGTGATGGTGTGGTTCTTGTTTGGGAATGGTCAGGGCACTTGTGCTGTTTTGCCCATGGGCGTCGGAAGGGGGGTGGCCCGGGTGCCACCATTTAGGGGTGACACCATAGAGCCTATAAAGAAGTTGACACTAATGCACCAACAAAAGAGAAGAATCCTTCGTTTCTATATAGCCTATTATATATTAACAAAGTACAAATAGGCCTATAGGGAAAATCATTGATTTTGATGTGATAGATGATTTTGCAGGACTGAGGGCAAGGAAATGTAAGATCAGATTCACTGATATGTTACCTCAACTCAAGGTCAAATCGGAACTAGTGTTTCTCTGGTGTTGCAACGTTTTCTTTATTTTTCAAGTTTTTTTTTGGGCATTGTTGAAGATGAATAAATGTAGGATCTGTTGCCTGTACTCAAAGTGGTATTTGAGGTTATGTTTCTTCAATATTACTACTATTATTTATTTTATCATTAATAAAGTTGAGAAGTATTCTCCTGTACAGTTTATGGCCCTTACACGTTCTCATTGCTAAACATTAGTCATTGGTCATGTAGTAGATTCCGCCCCGGGTGACACCAACCCTAACGACGCCTTTGCTGAGCCCTGCTTCCAAACATCTGGTGATTATATTGTCTAAATTTCGGTCGGTATTCCAGAGGAAAACGAATTTTTTCCCCAAAAAAGGGAAAAAATATATTGCCAATCGAGTCAAGCAGACCCCCCAACCCATGTGTCGAAACCCAGACAGAGCCATATTCCCACATCTTTCACCTCCCCCAACTGGAGTCAACAACGACAGTTTTTCCCCGGGCCTATAAGATCTGATATTTGGAGCTGCAGATGTAAGGCGTCCCGACGTATTGCCCGTTGGGTTGTGTATAACGAGGACAAGCATCCCAAGAAGAAAACGAAATTTGTCATTGATGCTCAAGACAGGAGCAGAATGAAGACGTGAACACTTCACTTGGCCAACGCATAAGTTTGTAAGGGCTTCTCTGGTTGTATGTATTCGTGTGTAATTATGTGAAATTTTGTTTAAGCTCTCGTAAAAATAAGAAAAACAAACATTCACAAGATCATGGGAGAGAAGCTGTGTGGGGAAATAAGAGGCCACAGGACGATCACATCCAGCACGTGGTGGCGAGGAGGAGGCCACTACGAAGCTCACACATCCAGCACGTGATTGAGGTAGGCAATGTAGCAGATGGCGAGGCGAAGAATCTCGATCTTGGAGAGTTTCTTGTCGGGCGGCAGCGTTGGCAGCAGCTTGCGCAGCTGCGCGAATGCCACATTAAAAGCCTCCACACGCATGCGCTCTCGACTAGCGTGCGCAGTGCGATACTTAAGGGTAGCGCGTCTGCGCCGCCGCCTCTCCTCCTTGGTCATAGCCAGCACGTGTTCCCGCTCCCTGCAACACCAGGTAAGGAACGCCAGGTAAGGAACACCAGGTCACCTGTTCACAATACTCACCATTATTAATAAAGAAAGGTCTGGATCAATTGCAGACTCGCTTCTCTTCAAGCAAAAACTAAAATTATGCAACTTTCATACCCCGATTTTTAATACACAAATAACCCGCACATGGGAGAGAAACTTATAACGACGTTTCGGTCCGACTTGAACCATTTACTAGTTAATGGTCCAAATAGGACCGAAACGTCGTCATGCGTTTCTTTCTATGTGCGGGTTATTTGTGTAGTGTTCCAGTTACGGTATTGTACCTTTCTGTTCTTAACTGATTTTTAGTTTCGATTAAGAAAACTAACATAACTTAACCAAGCCAAAATATCAGGCATACAAAAATAACTTTTACCCAAGTTAAGAATTTGAATAACTTAACTATTTTCTTTGCAGAGGAAGAAGGAAGATGAATAACTAGATTGAGGAGGAGGGAAAGAAAAAAATGAATTAAATGGAGGAGGGAAAGAAGAAAATGAATGACCTGACCAGTCAAAAGTTCACCCAGCTGAACATTGGAAGACATAACCTGCATGGATCACAGGAAACACTAAAAGACGGGGAATAAGAGGACCAGACACAGAAGCACTGTGCTCCGGGAGTTTCCTACCAGGTCTTGTTGGTTCAACCAGTGAAGGAAACTCTCCAGTCTTACGATTATAATACTGTGCTGCTCAGTTTAGGCACACGGGATCGATTCCCGGCACCGGCAGTGAGGTCTTGGTGTGTATTTATATTTTCCTCTAATAGATTACTATCTACACTAGGTGTGACAGGGCGAATAAACGAATTTAAACTCAGCACTCGGAATTATATATTCAGTAATTGTATAGTACTGATAACCCGTATATACTTATTTGTAGTTGGAGAGGGTCGAGCTCTAGCTCCTAGTTTATGTTACTTGTGGTTGGAGGGGGTCGAGCTCTAGCTCCTAGTTTATGTATACTTGAACTCGGAGAGACATGAGGTGCGGCTACTTAACCTACCTGGATCTTCTGCTGGTGGCGGCGTTGGACCCAGCAAGTACAAATGTCGGGTCGTTCTCTATGTCTGAAGGTCGGTTCTCCCGCTTCAGGTTGGAGGCTCTCTCGTGCCCTCTGACCTCCCCTGTTGGACCCTCGTGAGATCGGAGCTCTGCGCGGAGGTCACGACGTACGAGGTCAGCACGCAGTTCGACGGGCAGGAGGTCAGCTTTTAGTTCGGGGCGGGAGATGGTGTAGTCGTGGGCTGGCCGATACTCGAGGCGTGGGTTGAGGTCTGACCTGCATAGGAGGAAACCACAAGTTACGCGAGTGTACCTAGTTCCAACCGACCGAGCGAAGGTTTGAACCAATGGTAAGCCGGCCCTAAAACTAAGCAGGCCAGGACTGGCTTATACCATGAGTTTGAATCATCCTCTCGGCGAGTACAATCGTGTCATACGATTCCGTGAGTCATTCATAACTACCTAGTTCTTGCTGTCGTGATGCAATGTGAGGTGCTTCCAAGTTTCATAAATCCATATAAGCACAAGTCTCATCTATCTTCTGTCCTATATAATAGTCTGCTCAATACATTTTGCATTAGTTTAGTGCGAGATGAATAGGTCTTAAGTACATTAGTCTCACATCTTTGAGGGATATGTAATGCATATTAATTGTGCGTCAGGCCTTCAGCCTGGGACTAAGAGCCTTCCCTCGCTGGAATTTGGGAATCATTTATAATCGAGTTGCTTGAGTGTTGCCCAAACTACCTTCACTTAAGAGCCGCCACTGTGTGAAAGTTTCAGATCACTTACTTAACCACTTTGTTATTACAATTTAACATTAGCCAACCGCAGTTACGATTTTTCTAGTTACTGTAAATTCAGTAATGTTCTATTTTGTTATAAGCTAATAACGATTCAAGTTTGGACATTATTAATTTAATGAAAAATATATGAGCACTAAACTAATGGGTCATAAATATTACGAACTCAAATTAAAGCTGTAATTAACAACTGTCAATGAATAAACATATCCACCGTTCTCCTTCCTTCTGGGATTGAACTCCAGTACATCCTGACGAGAACAGTGTTACCGTTCCTCCACCTTATGTAAAGTCTAAGTTAATAATCTATCACATGTTTATATTGACACGAGGTCAATATAATACAGTAAATTATGCAGCAACACTAATACAACTTGGCTTAGGCCGGGGCACCTAACACTCCAGAGCATCTGACTCAGCTGAACTCACCTGGTGAGGTCGTGCTTGACAGGCAGGTCAGGTCTAGGGGTGGCGTGGAGGGCAGCGACCCTTAACTCAGGTGGGGCCAGCAGGCGGGGGTCACGGGTCACCAAGTCAGCCGAGGTCATGTAGCTGCACGCTGTGTAGTGACCCGCCAGCGGGAAGTCCATGTCCAACCTGCCAAGGAGGTCAAGTGTCAGCCTCAAGGAGAAGCTTGAGGAAGAATGCCCTGGCAGTGACAACTTCAGGTCAGCTTAGCAGCCAAAATAAGAAGAGCAGGTTAGTGTGTGTGGCATCCTGTCAGAAAATGTGGTATTCCCAACCTTTGGTGTAGAACTTTTAACCTAAGTTACGACATTCTACATTCTACATATGAAGTCATTAATAAATGTAACAATAATAATTAACAAAAAGACATTCTTATCCAGCAGTGACTCACGCCTGCCCATTAGAAAAGTATAAGTCTTTTAGGGTGTTTTTATGACTCCCAAACTGTGGTGGGTCACTGTTAGGGTCACACCGTTAGGGCCGGTTTTCTGATACTTTACTACTGTACTTCTTGCCTTCCAGCGTTCTCAAATAAATTCCAAATATCTGTTTGTTCATCTTATGGTTTTCAAGGTAACCATAGCGTATTATGCCACCAAGAACAAACTGAATATATACTGTACTAGCATGTTGCTAGGTTCCTCATGGTCATCTAATACCTCGGGTATTATCACAGTCTCGTTTATTCATACAGTTGTCCTTAACAGGCTATGTATAATTTAGGGTTCTGGAATTTGTCCCACAGACTGAAAATTCTGTATAAATTTTGTGAATAAGAACCTAAGAAATAAGGAACACTGCAACAGGCCTACTGGCCTATGCGAGGCAGCTCCAATTCTGTAAAGTAAAAGGACACAAGCCGTTACGGCTTGACAAAGCTCCTGGAGAGCGAAACGTTGCCACAATAAAATGTCACATTAGTTGCACTTGTGTCTTTTTACTTTATATATTGTCGGTAATTCTACCAACATTATTACAAGCTCCAATTCTCCCACCAGCTTAAGCCAATGCCTTGACCTAGTGAGGTCAGACACGTCACTTAAGGGAGGTAGTGCATCTCCAACTTAGTACCACAAGCTAGTCAGGCCCAACTCACACCCACCCACACCCACTCATGTATTTATTCAACCTATTTTTAAAACTACACAACGTCTTAGCGTCTATGACGGTACTCGGGAGTTTGTTCCACTCATCCACAACTCTATTACCAAAGCAGTGCTTTCCTATATCCTTCCTGAATCTGAATTTTTCCAATTTAAAGCCATTGCTGCGAGTCCTGTCTATGTTAGATATTTTTAGCACGCTATTTACATCCCCTTTATTAATTCCTGTTTTCCATTTATACACCTCAATCATATCACCCTAATTCTACGCCTTTCTAGAGAGTGCAGATTCAGGGCCCTCAGTCTATCCTCATAGGGAAGATTTCTGATATATGGGATCAACTTTGTCATCCTCCTTTGCACGTTTTCCAGTGCATTCATATCCATTCTGTAATACGGTGGCCAAAACTGTGCAGCATAATCTAAATGAGGCCTAACCAAATATTACAACCCAGGAGTCCAAATGGCCTGTTATCCTGGGTGTAAAGGGAGCAAAATAAACACAGCAGAAAACTTTTGACTTATATTATCCTTCACCAATTTAGAACAGAAGTATGTACACTATATACACTATGTACAGCGATAGGTATTAGTGCACTCCACGGTATGCAAGGCAGAATAGAAGCCACTAGAGAGCAGACCGTGCTTCAACCAGCTCTAGAATGGGAATGGCAAGGGCAGACAGGAGAGTGGTACCCACATAACCTCTGCGATTGCCAAAACCATCTTCTCACTGGCTGGAACCTGGGTACTGGTTGAACTACGGGGCCCCATCGTCAACCCTCAGTCACCTGGTTCGCTGGTTGGGGGAGATAGCCTGTAAATGAGGGTGTGTACATGCGCCGAATAAAGGTTACGTACTCTTTGCATGCCACACCAAAGATATAAAGAGTTGAAGAACAAAATGAGGGCTTCTATTATTCATACTTCTTGCTATGAAGCCAAGGATTCTGTTAGCTTTATTGCGAGCACTAATGCACTGTTGTCTTGGTTTTAGATTACTATTAACCAGAACTCCTAAATCCTTTTCGCAATCCGTAATATTAAGGTCTACATTATTTAGTTTATATGTGGCATGGTTATTTTCCTGTCCAGCATTTAGAACTTTGCATTTGTCTATATTAAACTGCATCTGCCACTTCTCCGACCACTGCATGAGTCTATTCAAATCATCCTGGAGTGCTCTAATGTCCTCATTAGAATGAATTGGACTGCCTATTTTGGTGTCATCGGCAAATTTGTTTATGTCGCTATATATTCCCTCATCTATGTCGTTTATGCAGATTGTGAACAACAAGGGGCCCAGCACTGACCCTGTGGAACACCGCTTGTGATGTGCCCCCATTCTAATTTCTCCCCATTTATGCGAACTCTATGCTGACTATTCGTCAACCATGCCTCAACCCAGGATGGTTCTTTTATTGGATTTTGTGAATAGTTGTGTGGTAATTGTTGTCTCTAACTTCCACACTCATTTTAATGACACTGTTATGCGAGACGCCTCGTAGCTGGCACGGATGTCTTTTATTGAATTTTGGCAGTTTGTGGGTAGGGCTTCTGAGTTTCTGAATTCTTTTGTTCATGGTAAACACTGATCCTTCGGCTCAGCTTCCATGGATAGTTCCTCAATTCAAAATGGGTTTTTGTGGGCTATGCCACAGGTATTTTAGCGAGCCACAGATGGGAGAGTAAACCCTCATAGTAAATAACTGGAGAGCATATGGCAGCGAGGGAAGAGAGACGGAGGCAATATACAGTAAGTGACGAAGGGTATAAAATGCCAGTAAACTGGAATAAAAACTTTAAGTGGTGCGTAAAATATTTCATGCGACATTTTACTTGGAGACTAAACTTGATCTTCACGCAGAACAACTGAAATAAAGTTTCCATACTACTTATAGGGTCTTTATTCAAGTGACAGTTAAACAAAGTTAGATATCAAAATCAGAACTGCGGCTTGAAGATTTTACTTAAACTGCGAGATGATGTGAACATGTATGAAGATTTAGGCGTCGCCAGAAAAATAAAGTTTTAAATCAAAATATGTCAGAAAAGTTCTTTATTCTAATTAAGCAAAATTCTACCATAAATGTAAAAATAACTTATCTTTTTCGCTTATTGAAGACTGGTGAAATAATAATCAAGATGTAAATATTCCCAAGAGAGCCTGGTGGCTAAAGATCCCGCTTCACATTCGGAGGGCCCGGGTTCGATTCCCGGAGGGTGGAAACATTTCGACACGTTTCCTTACACCTGTTGTCCTGTTCACCTAGCAGCAAATAGGTACCTGGGTGTTAGTCGACTGGTGTGGATGGCATCCTGGGGGACAAGATTGAGGACCCCAATGGAAATAAGTTAGTCCTCGATGACCCAGCACTGACCCCTGTGGAACACCGCTTGTGATGTGCCCCCATTCTAATTTCTCCCCATTTATGCGAACTCTATGCTGCCTATTAGTCAACCATGCCTCAACCCAGGATGGTTCTTTTATTGGATTTTGTGAATAGTTGTGTGGTAATTGTTGTCTCTAACTTCCACACTCATTCGATAAGATTGAGGACCCCAATGCAAATAAGTTAGTCCTCGATGACGCACTGACTTTCTTGCGTTATCCTGGGTGGCTAACTCTCCGGGGTTAAAAATCCGAACGAAATCTTATCTCTTCAGGTACAACCACAATTACTGCTCAACGTACACTGACCTGTCATGGCAGTCGTGACTTGTCACCTCGTATGATGATACAATATCTTTATATTATGGAAACTTAGACAAGTGGTACCCAGTAGTTATACAAACATGTATTGGGATTTAATACTTATTTACACAATATCAAAATACATCTCTATAAATTACTTCAAAGTGTGAATATAAAATTGTATAAAACAATTGGGAGTGTGTAGTTGCAACTACCCATAACAAAATTACGTACCTAACCCACTCATAGACACTCTTTAGGATTTAATCCAAACCCATCAGACACACGTCCAGCTTGCCAAAAAGGGAAAATGAATTTTTATACTAAAATAAGAAGCCTAACAGATACCTGTTTACGCATAAAAATATATTGACAGATACGCCACGACAGACAGTAATTACTTGTTGATGAGTGATTACCCTTAATGAATCTTGATTGCGTTGCTGCTAGTTTTTCAAAGTCTCCCTCAAATGTAACACTGGTGTCAGTAATGCAATAACAGACAAAACAAGTTGTCTGAACACCTACAATATTGATATCCAATAGCGACAGGATAAGGAAATAGATACATGCAGCACTTGTGTATGCAAGTGCTACATTTGTCTAATTCCTCACTTATGAACACAGCGAGAGACTCATCTACTTCATTCTAGTATACTATAAATAAATGTTCAAAATACTCGAGGACAACATGGGGTAAGCCTACACAATGTGACATGTATGCTTCAGCAGGTACCAGACGGTATACCGGCTGATCATCGGCAGATGTAGACAGTCAACAATAGAAAGCTAAGGTCCTCAGGCAGATGCAATAACAAAGGATGGAAGGTCAACTATAGTAAGCTGATGCTCTGGTGCAGGTACACTAGAAATTAAGTGTAACTGACTAAAACTAGACTATGTAGCTTGCTGCAGCAGAGACTGTCAGCAGTATGACAAGAGTGACAGCTACAGCAGACAGAGAGGTGACAGTGAGCCTGAGAGTCACGCTTGAGGACAGCAATCACTAGCACTGGCTGAGGTGAAGGAAAATAGAGTGCTTTGATGGTCCAGCGTACAGGAACTGCCCTCCACTTCTCTGAATCAACCCTAATTACTTCCATTCCCTTATTGTGCCAGATCAACCAGGCTATGATGGATATGTGCGGCAGCGGTCTTCCAGCAGCAACAACCTGGTTGACCAGGCAAGCATCAGACGAGCCTGGCCCATGACCGGGCTCCGAGTAGTGAGACTCTCGAAGCTCATCAAAGGTAAGGTATATCAAAGGTACGGATTTATATTTTTCCCTTGAGTATAATAATAATAATAATAATAATAATAATAATAATAATAATAATAATAATAATAATAATAATATAGTAAAAATGCAGTGAAAGGGCGTTTTGAATTATTAAATGGAGCAACTAGACAAACAGGCACCACAGAAGGATCATTGAGAACAGCGGCTGCACCAGCAAGAGCTTGCAAACAGATAAGACATTTCTGGAGTGTTTTAACAATCTGTTAAGGACTCCAGCGGGTAGAGAAACTAAAGCTGGCTGACCACGCGAGACTGCCATGACCAGTGGTATGTGCAGTGAGAAGTGACAGACTCATAGACACTGCGTCTAACCAAACATTTGTTTGGATGGGTATTTTGAGGGTCCAGTGTACACACTAGAGTTAGCCGAGCAGCTGTGTGGGGTAACGGGATACTGTACATCGATAAAGCACCCGGGAATATACGACTGAGAATCTCGGATACAATCGACACCCTTCCCTAGTTCACAGCCGATGTTTAAGATCCATCTA